CATGTGTCGTGGTTTCATTCAGATACAGGCAAAAATTGAGCTACCTACAACTGGAAGCAGCCATTGTGCATTAAGAAGTTGCATAACATGTTACTGTTCATACAAGTGTCCTTGATGCATAAGCACAGTCTGACTGAACAGTGAGGTACATAAACTTCCTGTTAATGCTTTGATATCACAGGATCACAATTAGTAGAAACATTTAAACACAGAGTGGATACAAGGTTAACCTTTGAGCTATATTTCTTTTTGGCTTCATGGATTTTGTTGATCTTTGTTACACCTCTGAACCAACACAACAATTATTCTCTGCCATCTTCTCTGTGGTTCAAATAACAAAGGTGTTGTATTTGTAGGTTTTAATAGGCTCATAAATATGGTGCACATTTATGCATTTTTATTATAGGAACCTGCCACCGCTCCAGGCCTCAACAATAATCCTGAAATATGGACCACAACAATTTTTACCTGAGCTACCCTGACCCCGCCTACCAGCAGGTTCAGCAGCCATGGCTGGTCCATGACAATCTGATCCTTCAGGAAGGTAGGCTAGATCTGCTTGTTTTCCATACACAGGCATTTTATTGGCTGCTGGATATTGTTGGGTTACTATTTATTATTTGGTTATTTGTGTTCTTTTTAAGGATATATACCAGTGTTTCAGCAGGAGAACATGGTCCTGGGTGATCCTAACGCACTGGAATATCAGACACTGAGAGCCGACACTCACATATTTAACGGAGAGTCCTGTGACCCACCTGTGACAGGTACAAAGCTGAATTAAGTTTCTTTGAAGTCCATCCAGCTGTGTTTTTAAAATCCGGTATTTCTCACACATGTAGGCTTTACTTGGGCTGCGAGCTACGTTGAGGCAAAATGTGTTTTAAAAGGGGCCATTTTGTTTCACAGCTCCCTTTATTTTGAAATTTCTCAATTTCCTGACCAATTGGCTCATTGGGCGTGTTGCTGTGGCACGGTGGTTAGCACTGTTACCGCACATCAAGAAGGTCCTGAGTTCAATTCCCCCATCAGGTCTTTCTGTGTGGAGTTTGCATGTTCTTCCCGTGTTTGCGTGGGTTCCCTCTGGGTACTCTGGCTTCCTCCCACAGTCCAAAGACATGCAGCTTGTCTCTGTGTTAGCCTTGCGACAGACTGGCGACCTGTCCAGGGTGTACCCCGGCTCTCGCCCTATGACAGCTGGGATAGGCTCCAGCGCCCCTGCGACCCTGAAAAGGATAAGCGAATGGCGTGTTACTGTTGTGGTGGAATCATTTAGTCACTCCTCCAGAGGGGATCTCCTCTGGTCAGGCAGACCCCCAACAACTGGAAACAGTAGTCCTCGTTCTGCTCTTGAGATTATCACCACCTGCAGGTGGAGAACTAGATCGTGGGCTGCTATGCTGAGCTAATGGAGGCACAGTCACAGCATGAGAGACTCACTGGAATAGGAGTTTAGTTGTCACACAGTATGTACATTTAAATACAAAAACAGGAGTTAATCATCTAAAAGCATTGTTCCTTTAAAAAGTGTCCTTTTGCGACACACAGGCACACAGATCAAGGGTGTCTTTCTTCTAACTGAGGGGCAGCTTGTTTTATAGTCATCACAGATTTTAAAATCATCAAACAAAAACACACTATGATTTAAAAGTTAAGAATAAACAGCATTAACTATACAGTGACCTATTTAAAGGTTAAAGAACTGAACCAAACAATTCCTGCTGCCTGTTGCTTTTACCAGCATCAGTTCAGTCAGTCGAATCGAAGTCTGTGGGAAACACTGAAATTCATCTTAACAAAATCTCTCAAATTCAAAGTGACAAATGGGACCAATGACTTCTGTGATTTCAGATGAGATCAGACAAGAGCTGAGGACCGTTTTGGAGTCCTACCTGAACAGGTATTAGCTTTGCACACATACCCCCTATTTTACAGATCCACTACTTGTAGTTGGTACAAACTAAAAGACATATGGTTTAGTATTTTTGCTGTGGTTGTAGTTTAGTTTGACCCGTTTATAAGTGCACTTATATGTAAACCTAAATACCCGAGTGGGACATTTACATTTCTTTAATCTGACAATATATGCACTGTGATCTTTGGTAACCCCTCCATCGCCAGCATGTATCAGTGTTCTCAGCAGTTCTTCCGTCCCTCCTCAGAGAGCACCTCAGCAATGACCTATTTCTCAAGACTCAGATGGACAGCAACCAGTATGTTTCCATCTCTGCTCTGGCCTGCCTCGACCAGATCAGGAATCTCACCACAGACCTGGACCTCATCTCCGATATTCTCAGATGTCAGTGTTTGTTTCTGTGGGTATAGGTGGAGGCAGAGTAACAGTTTGTGTCAGTTTTGAGTTATAATATTTAATGTACATGGATCAGACTTTATTTCCTTTGCTACAAAACCACGGGATCGTGATAGGGATTAGTGAAGAGGAACGTTTTTTTGTTTTTGCGTTCAAAAACTAAATCGGGTATTCTGACGATGCACATTAGAAGGAACTGTTCTAGTGTAGAGATGAGAGTGATGAACGTGGTTTATTGTTGTCCTGAAACACACTCTGCTGCGGTTCTCCCACAGCCATGCCGCTGGTCCAGTTTTCCCCGTGCGGACAGAAAGTCCGGCCCAGACCTAGCCGGTGCGTTTTAATCCTGAGGGAGATTCCTAACACCACACCTCAAGAGGTGAGACTGCACAAAATACCCCAACGCAACCAAAATCCTCCCGGACAGTTTTAGTTCAGGTGTTGTTCTTACATGTACCTGCACGTGCGGGGATAGAGACGTGTGTTGTTATTTAAAGGAGTTTTAAAGGTAAATTGTGTATGTTGGCAGCGTTTTTGATATTGCTGTTGCTGTGCAGGAGGTGGAAGCTCTCTTTGAAGGGGAGAACCTGCCTAAGTTCAAGACCTGTGAGTTTGTGAGCAACGATAACTGGTTCATCACCTTCAAATCAGAAGCCGATGCAGAACAGGTAGAAAAGGGCCGGTCGAGGAGAGAAGTAAATTAGCTGCTGCTTTTTTTTGGGCACATTTTTTTGGCTAATGCCATTTAGGTTTGTTATACAGTCAATATCTACAAATATGACTACCTGAGAGCAGTCCTGTTAAAAAGTGCTCCTGTTAGCCTTCTTTGTTAGGAGATCTGATAATACAATAACTGAAATAATCGGAGTCCATGTTTTCAGACCTACAAGTACCTTAGAGAACAGGTTCGAGTGTTTAAGGGAAAACCCATCATGGTGAGGATAAAGGCCGAAACAACAGCAGCCATTGCTTTGGCTCCCACTCAAAGCTACCGACAACCCCAGCTGGACCAGTGCAACAGCTATTATGGCTTCTACTCCCCCTCTACCACCTACCAGCAGTCCTGCCCGACCCACGTGTCCACACAACAGCTAAACGAAGTCCTCGGTGAGGTGTGGGCTGCTGCATCTGGATACCAATACTGGGCCGAAGTGAGTTCGTTAAAGATGAATTTGTGCCTGGAAAATGTATTTATGACACTTAATTTTATATCAGTGTTAAACAGATTAGCATTTTTGTTTTTGTTCATTTCCTGTGATTTGTGGATGTCGTTAGTGTTAACGTGTCGTTTAATGTGTGTGAGGAGCTCTCTGGCTCCTCCTCTGATTAAGCGGTTGTTGTTTTCATCATTAGCCTCCTCTACTGATGAACCACTTCGTGGATGACTCCACAGCAGCTTCTGCTTTCAAACCGTCCCACCCACACAGCCACAGGTAGCTCCTTTTTATCCTCTTATGTCATGACACTTTATGATGTCATCAGTCTGAAGACTATTGTTTGTTTCTTCAGGAGAGGCTCGAGATGGTCAAACTGTGACCGTTGGCAGTCCCAGCAGCCTGCCTCCTCGCACTCATCTGAGCAGCCATCTGATCGTTTCTCTTCTCCCACATGGCCCGGTCAAGGACGGTCGCTCGGAAAGGTGCGCCTTCCGAGTAGAGGCGGAGGAAAGGAGCCCAACAAGCAGGTCACGTCTCCCACTGAGCAGGGAAGGTAACAAAAGATCAGTCCAGGTTTCAGATCTCTCTTTTTTTTATTCTCTATTATTCTCAAGTCCTGCTATGCCCAGTTCATTAGTATAGTTCATGTAGTGAAGATAGGATATGACATAAGGGCATGTTTTCTTTATACTCTTACTGTTCATTGAGTTCAGAGACAGGGTTAAAATGGTAACCTCTTCCTTCTGGTTCATTTCACACTAATATGAAGTCAGATGGAGCGGTAACTCATCGGACAGTTTTGGCACTGTTATCATGGAACCCTGCAGCTAAAAATAAACTCAGTCATGCTCCACTTTACTCCCCCTAATGTCCTTACTTTCTTTTCACAACAGGGTCGAGACACTGTACACGAAAAGTTGTGTTTAACAGATAGAAAAAAACAGCAAACAAATAGATGTGTATTCTCTGTATGATATTAATAAACCAGGTCTTAACCTTTGGAAAATGTACTTTGAAGGGCTCAGAAAACACAAGAGAAACCTAAGAAGTTCTCTCTTTGAGTGCCCTGTCTCTTTTATAACGTCTCTGCCATAATCAGCTCGTTTTGAGCAGACACAATCGCGCACACATTCAGCACATTGTCTCCTCTTTTCAAAACAGTAACTCACTGACTGCCTGTATCAGACATGTTCAGGGGAATTAAAATCCAGATTAAGCCAAGAATTATGCGTATGGCATGAACCTGACCTGGAAGGGTGGAGGTTTGACAACAGTAGCTTCAAAGATAACAAACTGTAAGCAATAAAAAAATAGCGCAGCAAAGACGAGTTACAGCCACAGTAGGCTAAAAAGACTCGATTTAAACGTCATCATCAGGTTCTCAGACTATAGGCAGACCCCTGTCTGTCACATTTTTTACACTTGTTCTTTAATAAAGTTATAAATCAGATGTTCGTCAGCGCTCTGTGTGTCCCTGAAGGAGAGGAAACTTCAACCAGAGGAGGAGAGCGACCGCAAGGTCCTGGGAGCGACCCACTCGAAGCAGTCAGGTAAGTCACCACTGAGCGTTGTGTATGTGCACTTTGTTCAGAAAGCGTACTGACCATTTCTGTTTGTGTAGAATTCACAGAGTCAGTCCCCTCCTCGTCAGCCGTCTCCCCATTTTGAGCTCACAATGTTGAACTTCCCTCTTCTTCCTCCTCCAGCCTCTACCATGGCAAGTCTTCCTCCAGCTAACAGTAACAGCCAGGCAACCAGGTCCCTCTGTATTACGCACACACACTGCTCACCTGGGCTCATGGCCGTCAGAGGCTCTGTTCACTGTCAAACTCCAGCCATACTGACCATATGTGGACAAAGACACAGTGTCTGTAACTGTGATGTTGTCTGTTAACGTGTAATCTGACCTTCTTGTTCTTTAATGTAGCCTTTGGTTTGCACCTTGGCTGTAGTTTGACAGTTACACACCTGCCTCCTCAAAGATGTTCTTGATGTTTAGATGTTGTTGTTTGTCTCAACCATGGATCGCTTTAGTCGTCTTCTGTGGTCTATCAGGCTCGTTCATGTTGTGTCGGTCAGTGCATTCATTCTTTATAAGAATGAAGCAGATTATCTCGATTGTCACATTATGAATGAACATGAAGTGATGAATAAACAGTGTTTTGTTTTTCTTTTTTTCACAGAGTGAATTACAAAGCAGCAGCTCCTGCGCCTCAGAGGCAGCGCCTTCACAGCAGCCTCAGCTGGTCTCAGAGCAGTGAGTATCTCTGACACAGCAGCTGCACGCTCTGTGTTCTGTTTTCACATGTAAGGTGTCTATACCGCTCACTGTTACAGTTGATATGATTAACAGTCTATGGCTCAGGCTTCTACAGTTATTTCACTTTGGCTCATGAGATATCTGAAAAGTAGAGAAGCAGCGGTTTTCCAGCCGTCTGTGCTGAGATAGTTGTGTTTGTGTTTGCAGGGCTGCGAATGAAGCCTCAGAGATGACCACTGAAGAGAAACCAGTTCAGCACACACAGGAACCAGTAACTGTGAGACTGCTTTTCAACGTCTTTGTGGTGTTAAAATTCATTTTCTTAACTGAATTACTATTTCACTACATAACTTTTATCTATACTACAGTATTGGAATCTTTTTATTTCAATTAAAGAATGAAGGAATTGGCGCAGACTTGCTTCTGCATGATTCCAGCATGTCCGCTTTAAATGCTGTTCTGCACCCACATCTGTTAGGTTCACCTACCAAACACTTGGAAGGAAACAGGAAGCCAATTTTTTTTTTTTTTTGATAGCTGGTGTTTGGTAATTCTAAACGTACGTTAAAAGCTATAAATCACAAAAAGGGGGTTGATAGCAACAAAAGATAAAAATACAACAAATGAACTTTTGTAAAGGAAGTAAAAAAAAAAAAAAAATCAAAAGTAGCACAGGTGCAGAGTGTTAGAGTCATATTTCATTTCATTTTTTTAATTTAACCTTTACTTAACTAGGAAGCTCCCATTGAGATTAAAAACGTCTTTTTTAAGGGAGACCTGCCCAAGATAGGCAGCAGCAAGTGTCTCACAGTTACAAAAATGACTCAAACACATGTTGTAAAGGTGTAATAGTGAGTTTGACCCCATCTTTACTCTGTTTGGCCAGGAGTCCAGGAAACTGACCTAAGCTGAGGTCTGCAAGAGAGGCTTATGCAGTAAGTCGGGTCCTGCCTTCACAGAACTGGGGTGATGCACCAGAGCCAGCACAGTGGAAACGCTGATGAAATGAGCTTATATATACTACACTGAGTAACACATTTAACCTTTAAATCGCCTTAATCCAGGTCTGGATGTTTGGCGTGGGCAGAGGGCTCCGACTGTTTGGCAAAACCAACTTTTCAGTTTTTTAGACGGGAAGATCTGTAAAGTTTGATCTGCTACTTTCATTTCTGTTTTATTTCTTGCTTTGTAGTTTAGGTCTGTTTGTTGAGAGTGAGCTTCCATTTAGTTGATTTCTTCTTGCTTTCCTGATGCATCGCCAATTATTTTCATCCTGTTTGTGTGTGTTACATGTTTTCTTAGTTGTACAGGACGTTCCGCCATGATTGTGAACTTATTTTAGTGCTGTTGTTTTATTTCTCCACCCATACATCTGTGTTATCTATGACTGCTGTGGACACACATGAAGCCTTTTCCATTGCTGATCAGCTGTATTATTTCCATTTTTAGATACCAGAGAGCTGCAAGGGCCAGTGTGTTTAATGGGATCTGATTTGATCTTTCTAGTTCTGGGATTAAATTGATCAAAAGCATGTTTCCCTTACTTCAGAAAAGTTTTATTTATTTTAAACAGGAGTGCATTTCTTCCCTTTTGGCTGGGTGGGTACTTACTGTGTGTCTAGAAACAACATTGTTTCAGCACTTGAACTGTATGTGAGAACTTGAATTTGATTGTAATGAAGCCATTTTTCTTTTCTTTGAAACATAAAGTTTTAAATGTTAAACAGATGTCATGGAGACAGAGTGGGCACGGTTGTGGAAAGTTATTTTGTACAGACTGTACATATTGAACAACTATTAAAGAAGTGCCTTTGAAGTTAAGTTTGTGTATGTATGTATTCTGCTCTATCCGATCATCCTCTCCATGATTAACATTTAAATATAGAGTCGGCACCCTTTACGTTAGTTCCTTCTTTGGACCAGCAGATGGCAGAAGAGTAACATCACAACACTCATTGCTCCATTATCTGGCACCACCACTTGTTTACAATGAGGATGATTTGATTCTCAGAAGGCTATAGGCCTAATGAATGAGATGAAGAATACTAATGAAATACACAGCATTCTGCAGACAAATTGATGCTCAGTTATGTGTCACAGGCACATTATGCTCATTCAATCATACTGTGCTTAATTGAAGGGCGCTTGACCTTTAATATTAATGATATTATTCTGCTGAGGCTCAGTTTTCACACACAAACATGGAATATAGAACAGCCACATTAAAAGTAATGGCTAATGAGAGAAGGAGAAGAAAAGCTGTGCTAAACTGGAAAAAAATCACTACCCAAAATGCAGACAGCGGTTTGACTTAAAGCTTAACAAACATGACTAATAAATCTGCACTTTTAGAATGTGAGCTATGCAGTTTGATCAGGCAGCGCTTCCTTAGTTATTCAAAGTTATTCAACTTTTGTTTCCCAACAGAAAACTGTTTTAGAAATCTACGATGTAGTTTCTAATAATTTTAAATTCATTAATTTAAAAAGTGAGTAATAAAAATAAAGTTGGCACTGAAACTTAATATGCCACAAATTTTTTATTGTAGAGTTTCAGCTCTACAATTTTTTTCCCTCAAAACTTTGAGTGTTGTTGGGGTCTTTGAATTGTTTCTAGGAACCAAACAACTTTCATAATATTAAGGTAAACAAAATTTGCATCGCAAAAGACAAGCAGAACAGGCACAACGTATTTCTAGGTGGTAGAGTAAACTTTTCTTGAGTGCTTTTTTGTGTATCCTAATTTTAAACCATTTAAATGAAAGAAAATATAGGTTACGCTTGAATGTTATGTTTTTTTGCAAGAAATCTACAAATAAAAAAATTGCAGTTTTTATTTTAAAGGGTTCAAAATGAATACAAGTGAAAGAATTACCCAATGTTCCTAATGTGAAAGAAAAAAACATTTGAACTTATAAATAGTAATAGATTAAATAATCATACAATTTTTATTTATGTGTAATTAAACCAGGAGTTTATTTATTTGTGTATTTATTGTGCCACTTTTGGGCTCCCATACAGGTTCATTTGGGCGTTGTAGGTGTGGTTGGTTGATGCGCCCCCTGCCGGTGATGAGCGGAGCTCCCTCCCTTTTCCCTCCTTCCTCCGTAGAGTCACGTGACACCAGCGGCAAGAAGCTGCAAACGGCTCTGAGACCGGGGCTGCGCGAGCCTCATCATCATCATCATCATCACCGCCACAACCGCCGCAACGACAGCATAGAGAGCCGACCGAAACCGGGGTCTTTACCGATTCAAGGAGCGGGCGTCATGGCGGGCCCCCGTTAAACCAAGAGCCACATTTATCCTCTTTGTTCTCGCAGTCTTCACGCGCCTCCGCCGAGGAGGGGCCGCCAGGAGAAGCTCTCCTTTTCCGAGCGGAGGAGAAGGAGGAGGAGGCAGGAGGAGATACAGCAGCGGCGGCAGCGGAGGTAACAGTCGAACCGGGGACGTGCTTAATACGGTACGAGCCGAATGGCGGACCGCGAGGCGTCGCCGATACCGCTGGAGATCCGAGCTCGGCTGGCGGAGCTGGAGCTGGAGCTGTCAGAGGGTAAGAAATGGATCAAAAAAACACGAGGGGTGCGAGGGAGAAAAGCCTCCCCTCTCTTCCCCCTCCTACTTCTCTTCCTCCTCCTCTTCCTCTTTTCTCTCGTTATCACGTTATCTCATCACCATCACCATCCACACCGGGAGCCCGTACCTACTAACGGAATCTAACCGTTCATTCCTGCGGCCCCGTCCTCCACCTCCTCCTCGTCCCCTCCCGCTCCTCCCATCCAGATGTTTGTCAGTCAGGGGACCGGCCTGAGCAGCTCTGTGTGGCCGGGGGAGGATGAGGGCTGAGCGGGAGCAGGCTGCGGGATTCTCCCGCTGCTCTTTGTCTCAGCTGCGGAGGAAACACACACATACACACACACCCGACACGGCCTGTTCGCCCGTTTTGGGTCCGAAAATCGAGCCATTGTTTGACCTTGAGATGTTGACACAGTCAGCCGAGCCTACCTGTGTGTGTGTGTGTGTGTATGTGTGTGTACGTGTGTGTGTGTGTGTGTGTGTTTAATAATAGCATTGCGATGCAACGCTGCGTGACAGCGCAGCACAGAGGGGGGCAGCTTGGCTTTTGATGCCCGTGATCGCAGACTCCTGCTTGCATCCCTGCCTCGCTCTCTCTGTTTTTTTGGGCCTGAGGATGAGGAGGAATATTCTTCCCACCACCACCATCTTCTTTTTACACACACACACACACACACACACACACACACACACACACACACACACACACACACACACACACAC